CCCACCCTGCAGATATTTAGAGGCATTTCTAAGGTCCCCTCTCCGCCTTCTCTTCTCCAGGCTGAACAAGCCCAGCTCCCTCAGCCTCTCCTCGTAGGAGAGATGCTCCAGTCCCCTCCTCATCCTCGCAGCCCTCCCCAGTGAACCCACCGGCAGCCGGCCAAACTCGCAGTGTATCGGGGCTAGGGGAGGGGAGTGAAACACAAGCTGAGCGTGCCTGCTGCTCCGGACCAACGCCTGGCCGGACTCACAAGCACCGAGCGCGGTTTGGGTCCTGTCACCGTGACACAGGTCGGAGAAGGGTCCAGGGCCGGTGGAAATGCTCCAGCCCGTTGCTGGGTCCCACCATTTGCACTCACCTTTACACAGCGAGCAGAGCGTTGGTCTCATCAGCTTTACGTCAGTGTTCCTGTTGAAACAATACATGGTTTTTAACTCTTGTAAAGAAAGACAATTAAATCAGTAACACTAAAAATAAGCTGTAGCACATTTCAAAGGTGCTAGTTTAAAAGCTGAGCTCATTACCCTTAGAGTGAAGATGTGACCTACTCCTAGGTTGCCCCAAGGATGAAAGAGCATTAGAGCTATGATGGTTCAACAACGGAGTCTGACAAGGTGCTCAGGGAAAGGGGAGATCTTTACTTCATGACATTTGAAGAAACCAACAAGTTCCTGAACATACAGGCTGTTCTTACAGATGAAAATACTAAGTCAGACCACACAGTTAAAGAAAGCTATTTCTCTCCCCTGAACATGCACAAATGCAGTTAGTAATTTAGCAGACGTGGCAACACACTAACAGCACAGAATTAGACATTGAGTTGTTGGAGACTCGCCTGCCCCGTGAAGCAGCACGTGTTCTCAAATAACAGCAGAGAGCACTAGAGCACTCTCAGGATCTTCAGACTTTCTCTGGTTTTCTTAATATTTTCCTGTGTTGTAACACGACTACATTGTGACGTTCAACCTCTTACCAGGCTTGCCGAGTCAAAGGAAAGGCTGCAACGGCGAACACAGCGTTACTAAGGCTTCAGAGTCCTTCTCCTTAGCGACTCTTCTATCTGCCGAGCTGTTAAGTGTTTCTAGCCATTAATCAAAACTGCTAAAACTCAGTTGTGTTACCTTGCCAGAATCGATCACTGGAACAACGAGAAGGAGCGTCTCGTTCTCATCACGGATTTGTCCCTGCTGATCTGCAAATACAACTTCGTCAGCCTGCAGTGCCAGCACGTGACGAGGGTTGCCCTCAACGCCGTCGACACCATCTCTGTAGGAGAGTTTGAGTTCCCAGCTGCATCTCTGAACAAGTAAGCTGACACAGCAATACTGTAGTGTTACTGTAATTCTTGTGTTATTGCAAGTAGTTGGAGCTGTCAACTTTTGTCACTGACCACTGGACAAGGTGGAGAATTCTTCCTTTTGCTCCTGTGACTGCACAAGCAATCACTGAAGCTTCATTAGAAGACCTCGGAGTAGCTGCTGTGTTGCTGGGACAGTTAGTAGTTACATTAACAGCAAGTTGTCGAGGAATTTTGAGGTAAGATGAATAGATTGGGGAGTAGAAGTTCATCGCCATTACGTAATGGAGTAACAGTAGCAGCACCACGTTAGCGTTGCGAGAAAGCCGCAGGTAAGCGTCAGGTCACGCATTACCGCGGGCCGTGGCAGGCAGTCCAGTTCAGACGCGTGTCCTGGGTGTCTGAGGCGCTTAACCTTTCTGCACTCAGCTTATAAGAAGGGACCTTTGCGTATGTCAGGGGCTGAATTCTTCTATTGCTGTTCTAGAGGAAAAAAAACTCACTAGCACACTTGTATTTCAGCTTCCAGTTTTAAGCAGGTCTTTTTTCAGCCGTACCTTTCTAGTTAAACTTGCCTCAAAGACTCCAAAGTCTTACCATATTCACTCTGCCGTCTTCAATACCAGGCGAGAAGGTATCGGGATTCGAATTCAGTGGGACAAGCCAAGTCGCACCTCCTTCATACACAGATGGAACCCGTGGTCCAAAAACATCCCATACATCACCTTCACCGAACATCCCATGGCGGATGCCGACGAGAAGACTGCGTCCCTTTGCCTGGTAAGGACGTCATCTCTTCTATGCTAGACGGCTTGTCCACCTCCTAGGCTGGACACGACTTAGATTATTTTGAGAAGATAGAGGAGTTAAATCAAATAGAAGCAGTTCAATCAAAGAGACAGAACTTAAAAGCTGTACATGCTCCAAATTTTGACCTGCAGGGCAGCCCCACTGTCAATTTTCCCCAGCTTCCCAGAAATGATTTATACAAGAAGGAAGCTGAGACTCCCAAAAGCGCAGAGCCCTGAAAACCCCCCCAAAAAATGGATCTTGGTGCTACTCCTGCTCTTACTTACCTGACAGGCCAGTGCCTGACTTTTCATCTTGGACTGCCAGCTAATTAAACAAGTAGTTTAATTGCTAACTTTAACCTTCACTTCAGTGGTTCTCAGTTTTTCTTGTAGTTATTTTCCTCTGAAGGTTTCCATACAAACAGAACACTGTGGTAATTTAAGTTCAGCACATCAGTGATAAGGGCAGGAGAACTACAGTCAGACATGAACAGCATTAGTCACTGATCGATCCTCACGCATCTAGCCCAGGTGTGGAAGCCACACATGAATAGTGTCCTGGTACAAAATTAACCATCAGTCAGGTGACATGTCAGAACCTAGAGCTTACCATGGCACGCGAGATCGACGACAACTACAGCTTCAGTGCTAATCCTTTACAATTCAACATCAGCAGCTGTTTGCCTAACGATTTTTAAAACAATAGAAAAAACATCAAGGTGATTTTTGTCTTCTTTCAGTTGGAAAACTTTAAAACTCAGCTAATTCAAGCTGTGAAGAGAGCCCATAAGGAGCATCCATTGCCAGGAAAGGCGAACGGCGTGCTGGTGCTGGAGCGTCCTCTTCTGATCGAGACCTACCTGGGACTGATGTCCTTCATCAACAATGAGGCCAAACTTGGCTACTCCATGACAAGAGGCAACATTGGATTTTAAAATGAACTGCATTTCATCTTTTCAAGGGAAAGTGATCTGGGGAGGGCACACTGTGTGGCAGAATACCCGATAATCCAAGTGAAGGACGTCAGGGGAAGGAGAGGGGTGGTTGTAGACCCAGCTGCTGACGGGAGGCCCTGGTTGGTATGGTCAGGTCAGACTGATCTGAAGCAGACAAGGTAGTGTCATTCTTGTATTTTGCATCTAATTTACAGTTCTTTGTGGTTCTTGCACAGGGCTAGTGAGCAGCGGTATTTTCCATCTCTAACTACATGTTCTTCCTTGTTAATTAAGTGCGATTGGCATCTACTACAAACACTGTATCCAAGATTCAGTAGAATGTTCATGCCGTATTACAGCTGTGTCCCTATATATGGTGTCAAATCATGTAGCGTGCTTGGGACTGATGTGTGTTGTTCAGAGGTATTAGTGCTCACAATTACAGCAATCGTAGCCTTTTGATTAATGCCTGTTAAGAATTTTGAAAGCTGTGTCAGTCATTCTTCAGCAAAACAGAGTCAGCAAATTTTGTTAGAGCTGTACTGTTGTGTCTGCTCAGAAGCAGTGTACATCAACTAACACTTTGCAAACTGAAGTGTATGGCTGAATATGTGTTTATTAGCTTTTTGTAACAATACCTCCATCTAAGAACTGAGTCTAACTTCCTCGTTTCTTACGTGTTTTCTTGCTGCAGCCATAGATAAAGACTCTTGAGAGAATATTGCCAAAAGCCTCACAAACACATTTGCCTTCAAAGCTATTATTTGTAAAACTGAAAAGGAATTCTATTTTTTATTAGATTTATATTCTTAGCAGTTTTTCCTTAAATCTACTCTAGTTTGGGACAGCAGCAGTACAGGACTCTAATGGAGATAGATAAAACTTTAAGCACTGTACCTCAGTCTCGATTTATACATTCTTGCACTTAACCTCATACAAACATCCAGCAATGAAATTCAGAAGCAGCATAAGCGACACCACAACTGCAGTTGCTCATGAGGTTACTCTAACAAGCTTTTTGACGATGTATGACCTTCTATACAGGCCATTTTATCAGAGCATTTATCTGCACAACTACAATACTGAATAAATGCCGTGCTGCTGTGGTGGTGTTCTGAACTTAAAGTAGATGTGTGTTTATGAAGCCTATGTAAAGCTGAAGTCATGATGGAATGCAACAAGTTGCATGCCCCGCTCCATGCATTTTCTAAGATACCTATTTAATTTTCATTAATCTTGCAGTAAAGTTAAATTTCAACTCCATTTGTTCTTTGTTCTTCATTTTGTGGAGACCGAGGCTGTGAAATTAAGTAGCAAAAGAAAACACATCCAATAAATTCCTGAACAGCAGGCTCCCTTCCTTTGAAGAACACAGTGGCTGGCTACTCAGGTTAAAGATAAAGGATACTCCAGCTGCCCTTTCCCTGCCGAACCGTCCGCTCCAGTTTGGCACTAGATAGTTGGGCCGAAAGCTCCCATTCCGGCTGCCTGTAATGCATCATTCTAAAGCATCAGTTATGGTCCTTCTTGTACAGATTCAGTATAACAAATCTGTGGCAGACCTGGCACAGTTACTGTCACCTGTTTACATATCTAGTCTGGAAAGGCAAAATTATTACCAATGGCTTAATTTGCTTCCTGAATAAAGACCTTGTTTTGCTTTAACAGTAAATGACTTGCTAGAAAGTATCTTACTGATATATCTACTTCTGCTACAATATTTCATTCTCATGCACCAGAAAAATCTGTTGTCTTACAAGACTAGATAGAAGCTGTGCTGTTGTGTGCAAAGAACTGTTTAATAGCTACACAGTCACATCACTGATCCTACAGAAACAGACTTTAGAAGGGAGAAGTGCAGGTTTATAATTAGTCAGAACAAGTTTGTAACTATCAAAATATTTATTGGCAGTTATAAAAATTAAATAATAGCTATACATTATATACACACAGCTACAGTTTTAGAAAATAAGGTTTCATAGTTGAAAAAGATCAAGAGAAAGTTCAACTACATCAATACTAAAGCTTTCTTGAAATCCGGGCTTCATTCTCTACGCTTTAGTTGCTACATCACTTCATTCAAATGCACTCACGGTACTTTACACACACGAGTTTGGTTACGCCCCTTCAAATAAATACTTAATAAATACAAAAACTTCAGACTGGGCAACAGGATTTGACCCCTTTCCTCACTCTTCCTCAAACTTGCGAGCGTTTTTAATGCAAATGATTGTTATTTTACCTCTTCTCTTTCCAAGTAACACACACAAAAGTTGTCCTTACTCAGAAGCGCCATGGAGTCTCCGCTGGAATGCCAGGAGAGAGACACGATCTGGAAGTCACCTGCAGAAACAGATCAGAGTTTGTCAGCGAGAAGCTGACAGTCCATCCTCCTGCTCCAGGAAGAGGTAGCTGGAGTCACACCCTTTCCAAAAATACCCTCCCCACCCTGGAAGCCGTAGCAGGGTGCTCCATTTTGTTACCGCTGCAGTAGTGCCGGTCCGTTGTCCAACACAGCCGTGCAGATAAGCCCAATTACTGACTCTGCCCCAAGCCTGCGAGCACTGTGCGCTCCGCACACAAACACAGATTTTGTAGACTCATCATTTTAATGCAAATGGGTGCCACAAGATTGTTCACTGGTGCAGAGCTGCGTACCCCAATGACAGTGCAACTCCTTGGGCACAGAGGAAAAAGGTGAATCTCTGCGATTCCTTTTCTGGTTAATACGCAGAAAGGCATTTATGTGATCTAGCTAATGGCCTCGTATCACTTGCTGCCAACCAGAAAACTTCCACTTCCCATCACGCAGGCTCACTTAGAGTTCAGGTATGTTCTCTCTTTCCACAACAGATTTACCATGGGTGTTTTTCCCCGTTAGTTTTGTTGTAGTTTAGCTGTTTTCAGAATACCCAAAAACATCATAGGCATTTCAGAGCCTTCATTTCAACACCTGGCATTCTGCACAACTACAGTTTCTATGTAAATAAACCGATACGAATATAAAGCTTGAGAAAGAGCTCAACATGCCATATGACTGAAGCCACAATTACATCATTGTTAGCCCCTGTGCTCTGTCCTTCATATGTTTTTATCATGTTTGCTATGTATTATTATAAGCTCCTCTTTTTGGAGGACAGAAATACCAGCTTTTGAAAAAGCTCCAAGAACACACCCGAGCCATTTACATGACAATGCTCAGACCGATTTTTAAGGGGAAAAATATTTTGTAAGCAAGAAGCTAACGCTGGCTTGTGGAGGTTACTGCAGCCTTACCCTCCACGGGAACCTGCACCGCCACGCAGCCAGCTGGGGACCATAAGTAGACTTTGCTATTTCCTGTGCATACAGCAAGGCGAGGCTGCCGCGGATCCCACTGGAAAGACTGGATCGCACACAGCTGCTCCAAGACTACAAACAGCTTCAGCTTCTGAATGTCCCAGATCCAGACAGCATTAGGAATGTTATCTGTCAGAAAGGGAAGATGTAATCATGTAAACACCTGAGAGAGAAACAGATCACACTTCTTTTTTACTTTCAGAAATGGGCATTAACTGAGGTCTAACACAACACAAACACCGCAGGTTTAACATCACTAGAGTTTTGCCTAGCAGTGCCTTCGGATTCACTCTGGAAAAATTACAAAGGATAAAAGAAATGACTTAGTTTTTCTTCCAGTGCTTCACTGGCTTTTATAAAATTATTCACAATTATTCTAGTGTTGATGGGGTTTTTCCTCCAAACCACAGCTTATGCATCCAGACATAGTCAGCCCTTCAGGACCATCAAAGGGAAAGACGAAACGTTAATTCCATGACTTTCACTACTTGAGGTAATGAAAAGCCCCCCTACCACAGGTTGTGAAGAGCTCTGCCTTTCGAGAGACACTTGCTGTAAACGGAGGACGAAGGATTTGTGTATTTCATTTTCTAATACAGTGAGCTCACATACATTTGAAGAAATATAAAAAGCATATTATTTTCATTAAATATAAAGCCAAGAGTAAGTTAATGCACTGATAAGCAGTTCTGGCAGCTCACAATACTTTACATATGCTAGGAGACATAGGTTGAATTTCCTCTGTAGTTACATGTTTGCACAATGAGAACTGATTTTCAACAGCACCATGAGTCTTCTCATAGTGCAAAATAACTCGCCAATTATTGTCCCTATTTCTTTTATGAAAACACACCACAAAATGAGTAGGTTTCCCCATTAATATGGGCCTGTGGGAACTTACCATTTTTGGTTGCCAGGAAACAGTTATCTGGACTGAATGCCAACATCCCAATTCCCATTTTGGGATTTGCCCTGTCAGCAACTGGCTTGATGTACTGTAAAGAAACTGGCACCTCGGAAATGTCATCTGGAATTTGAAATAGAAGTACATTATTAAGCAAGCCTGAATGGACGAAATAATTAAATTCCAACTGTTCAAAACCCCTCATCTCTGAACTGATAGGGCCATAATTTACTCTTCTCCAAGCTGTTCCAATCAAAAACTTCAATTGTTTTAAGATATTGCATCTGCATATAAACAGCTTGCTATTCTTGCCCCTCTACATACAACAGAAAGGCTGGAAATCCAGGCAAGTTGGAGATTAAACTATAAAAAAAAGGAGATATCAAATTTTCTACTACCTTTTAAACAGTATTTCAAACAAATACTAATGCAAAACAAAGGTGATTTACAGTACCACAAGCAATGAGACAGTAAAAAAACCAGAAAAAAATACGAGTCATACACTGTCTGCCATCTCTTTAGTATTTCAAAGCCTCTTGTCTGCAGGCATGTTTAAAGCATTGCTACAACTACAGCTTCTTAGACAAAAGGCCCTTTTCATGTTCTGCTTTCTTACACAACCTCATACCTCAGGGATTAATTACTATCCTAAAACAGACAGCAAGGCTGTAACACTCCTGATTTTTTTTTTTTCTAATTATTGGAACTGCCACATGCTGTGCTAAGACTTCTAACTGCTAGAATCAGGTGAACTATTGCAATTACCTGCAACAGTTAAAATAAGCACAGTTTAACCTGCCCTCAAGCCACCATGCAGACAGCAGTCCCTCTAGCAGGGTGCCTACTGCCCTTGCAGCTCCTCAGTGAACTCGGGAGCCTTGAGCAGAGCATCCAGAGGATCCATTCCAGCATCAGAGGCAGAGTTCGCCTATAATGCTGAGTTACAGAAAGACTGTGCATGGCAAACTCAAGTGTCTCATTTTAGTAAACTTTGGCTTACATTTACTCTGTGTGCTGAAGAGAGAACTAGCCAATGCTCTTGCTGGAGGGAAAGAAAGTCTCTCTGTTTCAACAGATGGGGATTTCTCCACTTCTTTATACACAATCTACAAAGAAACAAGCGAGAGTTCTACAGAAGGGCCTTGGAGAATTTGCACATGGGCTATTACCAGATCATCCACATCCCACTAGCTCATATTCAAGTGTATTACATCTCAGCAACCCCTAGTTCGTCAGTGGAGGAAAGGGCTTCAGCAGGCAAATACCAAATCCAGCGTTCTCTGTGAATCATTTGCTATTTGGAACCAGGATCAGGAAAACACTCCCGTGACAAATAAACGAACCTTGAAGTCTACGAAGAATGAGTCTGCCAGAGTACACCTCACTCATTATTCCTGAGAGCTAAATCTGGCAGTACAATAAATCATCTTCATCACAATGGGAACGCAGATTTCATTTTTGCGACAAAGAATCTTTAATCAGATACTATCATAAACAAATGCAAAGTGCAGCACCGCAGAAGGAAACAGCAAAAATATTTTAATAGCGTGCCTACAACATACTACTCCCAAACAAAAGCACCAGGACCAAATGCACCAACTGCAATTCTCGTCTGTGTAGTAGAGATTAACAGAGCTACTTCCATTTGTTTTCCATTACATCTTTCACACCTAACAGGAAGTAAGGGCATGAGAAGTTTTGCTGAGGTGTGTTTAATGGATTAGGCCTTGTTTCTGGTTAAGAGGCATCAACAGATTCACGTGAATATTGCAGACCTACAGCCTACACATGCAAACTCTTACAAGGCTGGCTGTCCAGACACAAGACTAGGCCTTCCCCTGCAGCAGCATGCAGCACTACTACACTGGGTGTTCTTTTTACCTTAACGGATGAGAGCAGCTTGTGACTTCTGCAACAAAAGCTACAGCTCTGCGCCTCATGCCAACCCCCCAGAATCTGCTGGGCCTTGCATATACAGGTACACGAGGGTAAAGATAAATGATGACAGATGTTTACAGGAAGTGTTCTTCAGGAGAGCTGGATCAGCTTGCACACACAAGATGTAAACCATACAGTTCAAATGCTGTTTAAAGTTGCGAACTGTATCAAGTTAAGACAAATCTCTCCTGTTAAGTTTCCCAGTTTGTCATCCTCTGCACACCCAAATCTGTAATACAATCACCATACACGTGAAAACACACTGGCCTACGACAGAATTCCTCTGAGACTCTATTACTGCTGAAGCTGAGAGGATCATACATGTGTATTCCAAACTTGAAAGGATTCCTCTGTTTTTCTGACATCCCCAAATTTTCATGCAATTCCCCAAGCCCTATTTACACATTAGGACGTGAAAAAGCAAGGGCTCCAGAATGAAATGGATTTACCAGCGCCTTCCAGATACAAACAGCAGTGTCACAGCACTGCTACAGATTCAGTGGATTTTGGATCCATACTCACAGTCTTCGTGTTAGCAATGGTTGCTGGATGCTCAAACTCTGTGATCTTCTTCCATGTTACATGGTTCAAGATACGCACCTAATTCAAGAAAGCATTGCAAGACAGAACTGTCATGACAAAGCTCTACAAATGGTTGAGATTAAAAAAAAAAATAGAGAGAGAAAGTAAACCTATTTCTTACCTTTTCATCATAGCTGCCAATTGCCAGAAATTGACTGCTGGGACTCCAGGCGATAGATTTTATGCCTAGTGACCATTCATAAGCCCGATACGTGGATAGCAGTCTGCCATCAAGGGAGTACAGCAATATTTTATACTGAAACAGAAATAGATTAATTCTGAAGACTAACAATACTGTTAAAAGCCATGGACAGGAAAAACCATTCCTTCCAAACTCTCCCTGCTTCAAATGCAGCAAATTAAATATAAGGGGCACGGTCTCTTATCTGTGACATGAGATAAGAGGCTCTAGGCTTCCAGTTTGGCTCTTCTGGCACTCTCACAACACGGCCACCCCTTCCCCAAGAACACAAATACCCCACTGGGCCTGAACAAGGGCCCACCCAGCCCAATGCTCGTCAACAACGTCCACAGCAGATGCCATTAGGGAAGGCTGTCATGGTCCTTCGGCATCTGCAGCCCATCTCATCAGCGACGTTACAACCCTGCCCATTCCCAGGGGTATTTGTTTTGATCGTAACTTTATGGCCACGGGAGGACACTTTTCTATAGCTAGAAGATTACTTAGTCAGAGCAGAAAGGATAGCAATTTATAGATTAACTTAGATATAGCTTTTTGGATTAGTACTTTCACTTAACTGTAAAATTACTGTGCAATGCAAAGTAAAATGGTAGAAGAGTCTTACGGAAGAATTCTTTCATTATTTCAATAGTGGCTTCTGCAATGTTTACATTTTTTTTTCCCCAAGATAAATTAGAAAGAAAGCTAATGAGATAATTTGCTGTCATTAAAGATTTACATAACAGTTTGACATATGCTTGTAAGGGCATCCATTACTAATACCAGCACAATATTTAAAATGGTTTGAGTTGAGGTTTTGTTATGACTAAAAGAAAAAAGTTGTAGCACTAGTTATTTCCGTTACTGCTTTATACGTGGCTAAAAACCAACTTGAACTCTCCAAGAAAATAATCTGCTGTTTCCTCGTACCTCCAGACACGTATCCCACACTGCCAGAACACAGCCATTAGGAGCCCATTCAATCCCAAACAGATCTTGCGTTTCAGTGTCAAAATGCTGCCCCCAAGAGAGAAAAAACAAAACCATCTGAAATATTAGGCTAACAAATACTGGTGCATCTGACCAACATAATTCTCAGTTTTATCCTTTTAAGTGCTACCACAAATGCAAAAGAGCCTTTTGCATGCCAGCGTAGAAACAGAAATATTTACAGTATGCTGCATTCGCTGCTTCTTTGCTTTCCCTTTACAGAAAAAGCAAAAAAGTTGCTATGCCTTAAGATGAGCAGCATTTTGTAAGCAGACAAAAGTAGTTACACTGAATCAGTCAAGAAATCTAGCTAGCCTAATTCCTTGCCTCAGAAAGACCAGCATAGCTTAGGAACATGACAAGCATTTAGTGGCATTTCCCAAATTTTGCTACCAGCTTCTAATGAGACTCAGAAACCCTGAACCAGAGGTGACACTACATACGGACTAGTTCTTCCCGGGTTTTAATTTCTCAGATCCATCCGGTCCTCTGATGCATGCCAATGTGCACCCTTCACAGACCATTCTCATTGTTAAACAGAAAATACGACACTTTATATTATGCATTGCAAATGATCACTTTATCAAGCATTTGATGCTGTCATTGTTATTCATGTAGCACAGTTTATTGTAAATAAGCTCATGCAAGAATTTAAAGGCAGAACTTCTGCATTCCATCAGAAATTCTTTACACATATATAGTATGTATTGGCCTCCTGAACAGAATACTGCAGTGGCAGGCTGCCTGCAGGCCAGCGAAGGAGCCACATGCTGGACAGAAAATGCATTGACAAGTCTAAAATCAGAGCAGCAAATGACTGAGCCTAACGTCATGTGCAACATATGCTTGTGGTCTACGCAGAAGCAGTGGAAGGTGAGGACATATCTTACTCTCAGTAGCTGCCAGTCGCTGCATACAAAGATGCTGACGAAGTCCTTGCAGTCACGTCTTTCTGCTACTGCCATATAGCGGCCGTCCTTAGTGAAAGCTATCCCTGTCAAAGTTAATTAAAAAAAAGAGAGAGAAAACACCACAGAATAGCTGACAATTCTCCAAGGAAAATCAGTTACTCCCAGTTCAAAGAGGAAATAAAGAAAGAAGGAAAAATATCTTCACAGCAGATCACATTAATCAAGGCAATGCATAGTGTTACTAATTTGTTTGTGTTGGCAGTTCTTAAACTTTGAATATACTATTTCTAAGGATGCAGCTTCACAGACATCGCAGAGCTTCAGCATGCTTCAAAAAACCCACGTTTGATTACTGACAGACAGTTGTTACATAAAAACCACAGACTTCCAATAAACAGTTCATTTAGTCTAGCTAAATGGATTAGTTGTGCAACCACTCGTACTCCACCAGCTTCCAGGCACTGGTCCTCATCCACCCTTATTTTATATGTAACACCTAATTGTCTTTGTCATCTATGGGATCTTACTATATACGAGCCCCAGGGAGGAAACTGCTAACCACAGCCATGTGGCTACAGTCCTGACACGAGTTTCCCTTTCAAATATTTTCAAGCGTAGAAGATGACAAAAGCCACTCTGGATTAGTGCTTTTCATCACCAGTGCATCCAGCTTAATTTAATGCCTTAAAGGACCCTTCAGAGGCAAACACAGCAGAGCTGGCACATAGATGGATGCAACCCTTCACCCACAGCGAGCACGGGACAGCCCCGCAGCACGCCTTGGCGCACGGCAGCGGGTGGCACACAGGTACGGATCTCGGAGCCGTGCATCCCTGCGGGCGAGCTAACCCCGCAGCAGGGAGGGTGCCAGAGCCTCCTCCGAAACACACGTTTCACCATTACACATCAAACTCGCTTCCCTCTCTCTGCCCTATTAAAAAACTCCCACTGCTGTGTTAGATTTGTGACACTTACCCTGCTGACAAGCCTTGGGGTACTTGATGTAAGATACAGATTTTGTACACAAGGACCACACAGTTATCCGCAGCTGTCTCAGACAGAAAGAGACAAGGAAGTATTTGTTTATTTTTGTAGATTAAAAAAAGTAAATAGAAACTCATGAACCTAATTCAACAACACAAAGCAGATCAACCCATCTTCTGTGGTTAATCAAACTTTGCAGCTATTCTACACAGCTCAAACACAAAGCCCTTCTGAGTAACTGCGAGGAATTACCTCCCAACTGCCTTCAGTTAGCAAGGCTACTTCTGCCACATTAACACTACAGGCACACGGGATACTCTAGAGGGGTATGAGATGCAGGACACCAACACGGAGAGAAGCTCTTCATTCACATTCGAGTTACCGATACCAGCAGGAACCTTGCTCCGTGACCGCCAGCGTATCACACACAGACACTCTTCAGCTGGAAAACCAGTTTCATCAGTCTCGAAAGGAGGTTTCTTGCATTTATGAATGGACGAGAATTTACCGCAGCTTAAGAACATAGTATCTCTTGTGAAAACGCTGCTAAGTATGAGCATTTGGTTGTATTTTTCAACTTTTAGACAGGCTCAGCTTTGACAGCTAATTTGCATTTTGCTCTTCCCTCTTCAGCCACCCGCAAGAAGGCAACACTACGTAGTTACTGGAAGAATTAGAAAAGAACTAAAATCTGGTATCCAAAGGAAGGCATTAAACATCTCATTTGGAGTATTTCTGGTGGCTCGTGCATCCATAAAACACAAAAACTGCAGAGAAGGCAGTCAGCTGCAAAACAAGCCTCTCCACAGCTCTTCAAGGTCACAGCCCGCATTCTGGAAGCTCTGCGTTGCCATCTGCAGATTATTCAATTAAAAACAAATACTTACTCTCCCTTAGCAACGGCAGCCACACCAGACATATGTGCATTAATCAGTGTGTCATGTGAACCTCTGCATTTATATCCGGAGCGAGGAATGTTTCCAGGGTAAGTTTTTTCTTGTGTTTTCCTACATTTCATTGCACCAAGGTACGAGATTCTAGAAGGCCTGCAGGTAAAACTACTTCTGCGGTAAAGCGTCACGGTCATAAAGCTACCTTCCCCAGAACTACTGAACAACAAAATCAGTTCCGATATGTTATATATAAATAAAACTGCAGCCCTGCCTACCACTTCAGCACCCTCCTGCAGACCATCAGCATCACCAGCAGTCTTGGGAGGAAGTTTCTGCTGCACTTTCTTGCACGTGCGTCCTCAATGCACATTCTCCTTCTCTGAATAATTGGCACTATTCAGTGGTGACAGAGGACTCAAACGTAGCATCCTATGTATCTGTTCCACCCAGTAACGCTACAGACTGTGCACTGCAACAGAACGTGGAGGGGTTTTTTCATTGCTGCCATGATCATTTTTGCTAGAAAGCATGATACAAGTAACTGACCTGGTGCTCAAACCAAGCTTCAGAAGCCTAATAAATGCTGCCTCCCTCCAGAGCTCCGCGGAGACCCAAAGCAGAAGAGCAGCATTAGCTGTTCTCCCTACTGCTTCTTGTACACAGAAGAAAGTTTTGAGATTTGAAGAGACGACACAGAAATCAGTTGGGTGTTTCTAAATTTGTTACAGGAAAGTGCACAGCCAGGTCGGATTCCAGTCCACTTCTATCCGAAGTTAAAAAAGGTACTGGACCACTATTTAATACAGTGTTTATTATTCTCTTTATTTCACAGGTACGAAATTACAGCGAGACATCTATAGTACCACCTTTAAATTTGGCAGGTCCTAGAGGAATCCACTAGATTAGCAACATTAATCAAGTTTTATCACTGCAACTGCTCACTTCCGGACATACAAAAATACAGCATTGTTAGTCTGCTCTGCATGCAAGATTTACTTTAAAAATACCAACACAATGCCTACTCACATTCTTCTGTAGCAACTGCAACAGTGATATGCTGCTTGCTCCTGTTACTTGCAGTGTTAAATGTACTTGCTGCTGTTCCTCCCTCGACCAAAACACGCAGCATACACACCACACATTCTACAGCCACTTAAAACAAGCTTAGCAGCTGCAAGCTTTGAATGCTGAGGTCTGGATCGTAATTTTTCCTGACAAAGGCATCCAAGTTTACATTTGTGCTGCTACTCGGCCTCACAATCAACTCACCTGGCTGCTGTGCATCACGCGCACTTCTACCCTGGACCACATCGCCTGGCTCAGAGCCTCAGATCAAGGCAAAGCCTTACTGCTCCCACCAAGCTCAAGTCCATCAGAAGAGGAAAAATCTCTGGAGGTGAGAAACAGCACATCACCTGCAGGGCTCTTACTGTCACCTCGGCCTTGCCTGAGGCTCCACTACAGCAGAGAAAAGGCAAGCACACCTTCATTCTGAGAAGTCTTTCTGCATCCATCTCCACGTCATCGTTGGGTGCAGTCCTCTGCTTGCTGTTCAGACAGAACCTTCTCTAAAAGGGTCAAAGTTCCGTAACTCCCCAGAGAAGACACTAATAATGGCTTCCCACTCCCCAGAGAAGAGACTAATAATGGCTTCCCTGTTCATTCTTGTCATGTTGCACTTAACTGCTGAGCATGCACTTGATCGACACCACAAGCTCCTGTAACACTGAACGCTGATATTGTTGGAGTGGTAGTGTATTGCCCCCCACACCTCCCCAACACATCACTTCTAACATATATGGCATAAACTGCCATAGTGCCACGGCAGTGCTGGGAAGAGACTACAGAACACAACCACCACACACCCATGGGATGTTTACACCCAGTCTACAACAAGCCCACAAAAATACACCTTCAAAACCAAAGACCTATTATTATACTGGATGCCTACAACCCTTTGATAACCAAAGCACTTCCTCTTCAGACCTCAGACTCCAAATCAATCACAACGTACCCATAACAACTAATAAGATCCTCTACTCAGCTTCGGTGTCTCTCTCCTGAAAAGGCTGCAAGCTCGTAAGGGAAGCACACAACTGCAGGTTGGAGACCACGCATATGCTCTGCCATAACTTCATTGCAACCTCTTGCCCAAATCACACAGGTTGTGGCCTAGTGTTAGAAACACGTAAAAGCAAACCATTTTGATTCCCCAAATCAGGATTTTTTTCAGTTGTTCTGTCTGCGTACACTCAAACATTTTTATGAGCTGAGAAAGTTACGTTATGGGCTTAAAATATGGACTTCACACCTATCTTACATGGATTAACAATATGTTTACAATTAAATTGTGACAAAAAGGGAGAACCTTCATATTCCCAGCTGGAACTAAAACATTATTCAACAATCCTGCCCAAGTTGTCAACATAAACTAGCCCAAGAAAAATTCCTCCACAGCCAGCAGATATGATTACGAGAGACAGAAACATAAAATGCACAGACGGTGAAAAAACAAAGCGAAACACTTCAAAAATCACAATAAACTGCATTGTTCTTTTTTGCTTTTCTCAGAGACTTTGTGGCAAAGGGACAACTGCTTTTACAGCAGGAGAATAGATCATGGTCAATCAAGTCTGCAGCAAGCACTCCTTTTTCACTGGTCATTTTGAGGGGTACTTTCTCTTTAGTGTAGGTGACTCGATTAAGTGGAGTTGTCAAACTCAAATCTTAATGATAATTCTGTCTGAGAAGTTTTCAGCTGTTGTTTTGCAGTGGAAAAACAAACCAAAAGCAGAAGCATTTTTAAAATAGCCTAAAAACAGCTGAGAAATAAAAAGTATTTAGATGGTAACGTGATAAACAGTCTCCAGTGCTGGGTTCAGGACTACGTCCCAACGTTGACAGCTACAGGCAGGTGTAAGACTGGTGATTTTCAATAGATAAAAACACACTTTTAAACAACCTGGCATCTCAAATGACTGTCAACTTTTGTCCCAGACTTGACTGGGTCACAAGGCCTCTTTACATAGCAGTGTCTGTCAGCACCGGATTTCAGAAGATTATTCAGAGCACATTCCTCGACAGAAAGCATTTTTCAACCAACGTAGCCATTTACAGTTACTAAGGATTAGCTCCAATACACACAGAAACACACGCTTTTTTTCCCCTGCTGCTGTAGTTCGAAAGAAGCTCCTTAATGCCTCCATACCTAACATGGAACTAGAGAAAGTATCTTCAAAGTTTCCTAAAAGAAACACTCAAGCACAATGCTGCTGATCTTCACACTATTTATCACCAAAAATGAGAATCACAAGGAAGCAGAGGATCCATTTGCTTTCTCTACACCTTTTAACCGCAGCTCTTGCTTAAGCGCTACATGTGCCCATGAACTCGAGTGGAACGATGGCACTGTAAGAGGAGAGATACCCAGTACAACACCTTCCACAGGACAAACTGACAACGTGGGATTTTCTAGCAAGCAGCTTGCTGTGCTACACACAGCAGGCATGCAGAACTGCCTCACAGAGCGGGTTTTGGCAGGAGAGGAAGAACCTACTACAAAAGAAGTAACAAACGATAGCAATGGGACAAGCTGCTTTCCTGTGCACTGCGTGAATCAGTATAATTAACGTGGTGTTCCAACTTTTTCAGATTCTAGACAGACTTCGCACAGCAGGCTTTCAAAATGTATTTTTCCAACTAATTGAGCTTTGCTCTCGGTTAGTGAAATGAGAAAGCACTGCCTCAGTTCCACCCCCCCCAAAAAAAAAACCCCAGCTTTTCCTAACAGAACTGTACTCTAGCTTGGTATAAACAACAAGGTGATGAAAAATCAAGTTGCAACTATTCTGACCACTTCTCACATGTACCTGTAAGATATAAGCGGACAATTAAAGCAAAAAAAAAAAAAGCCTTCCAAGTTTGGAACTACCTTTGAATACATCCAGCTGCCCAGTAAAACTAGGTTTTGCCTGGCAAAACCAAGCAAGTCTGTATCTCACCTTGCAGTTTGCCAGTCTGGACAGCAGCGCTGACAGTCTCCAACAGCAGGCAATCCTCCAACCCAGCCCAGCAAGATTTGAGGAACAAGCCTACATCTTTTCTACATCTCTGCAGGACTGCCATCCCAGATGCTGGCAGAATGACCCCTCCACACATAACACTTCAGCTAACATACAGCACAAAGATGCTTTCAAAAATCTCAGGCAAGTAACTAGGTACCACACACATTTTTGTAATTAAGCACAGCAAATTCTCTGCATCTGCCAGTGATCCACTATCAAGTGAAAGGACAGAGTCTCTACACACTTTCTCTGATAAGACTGTGTCGTTTAGTTCCCTTGTATACCATGCTGTTTATTGCAGTAACCGTGTAAAGGTTTAGACAGGTACCTCTGCCATCCAATATTACTGCACATTGTGTAACAACTCTCGGACCCAAAAAACCTGCCCATTATTACAGACTCTTCTCCAATAAAATGATCATATTTGCAGAGTTATGTTAATATTAAGCACGTATGAAGCATTGCTGCCGATCTCAAAAGACCAGAGTCAAAATGGGATTTTGGAAACGTGGGTCAGAATTCTGCTGCACTCATCTCAAATTAGGAACTGCACACCAGTCACATCAAAAAACCCACAACATTATTCACTATAATGCTGACCACAAAAAGAACTTGACTGCAAGTTAGCTGGCGAATAATTTTTCTGAGGCACTAGTAACTATGGATTGCTAGAAATAAATTAGCACAACCATATCCATTAAAAAAATCTAGGAATAAGAAAGTTATTTGTGAGCTTACAGTGGAGCTCACGTGTTGACCTGAAGAATTACAAGCACGAGTAATTAGTTGATGCCATTTGAGAAAGTCACACTACCACAGCCAAGCTGCACTGGCTGACAAGGAAGCTCTGAGCCCTCCAAGCAATCGCTGAATTCGATAACGTACATAATACACCACTATTAAGTATCCTGACAGTTTCTGTCTCAAGCACTGCTCACGCCTGTCCCACCAGACCATGGATTTAGCAGAGCGAGAGTAAACACAACTCAGACATCGGCATAACCCAGGCAGCTGTCTGACAAAAGCTAATTTAGCAACCTGTTTACAGCTGGAAAGAAAACTTATCCCAACACAGATGCCAACTTGGCAAAGGCTTAATGAAATCCTCTAAGGTCAAACCAAGTTCTGTTGGGAGGCAATAAATACTTGCTAGTCCACCCCCACACACACGTGCCACGAGATACTCGCTGGCAGCACACAGCACCAGCCCTCAGTTTGGGTTACTGACTGGCAGGCATGTCTCTTCCGACTTCAGGTTGAAATTTTAGAGCCTTTTTTTTATTTTAATAGCCACCAGGGTGATTCATTCCTGGGAAAACTAAGGCCCAAATCCATAACCCCTCGTAACTCACTATCTAGAGGGGAAGGGGAATGGAAAGAGACTGCTTTATAGCCAGAAAATCTCTACCCCAGTCAGCACTAAAACTCCTTGCCAGCACTAAACATCCTTGCCAGAGAATTCCCCCATGCGTGCATCAGGAACTACACCATAGCTGTGCGCAGGTTTCTCCACGGGTTCCCTTGAGAGCAAAGGATTTGCACTAACTCCAGTCCGCACACACAGATTATAAAATCCCTCGTCTATATTCCACCAACATTGGTATTTGCAGGAAAAAAGGAAGAATCCTGCAGTGTAACATTTGAATTCAGTGCTAGTGAGGGTTATGACACAATAACCCGTCATCGAAAATCCATCTACAGCTTTGATAAGGGTAAATAAAGCACAGAGAAAGATGTCTTGCAGGTAGTTCTTAGCTATTTGCTGATCGTTCATCGAATTCTCAGCTCTAATCCAGAGACTGGGAAGGTGGAGAGTCAGACTTCCACACGCCTTCCAACAAGCCCAGTGCCCAGCATCCACAATCCCATCCGGATTCCAGAATATGGTTCTTAACCAGTAAGCACTTGCACGTGTTTTAATTTTCATGTTGCAAGTGGTTCTATCAACAGCAGTCTTACTCCCATGTGTAAAATGAAACAATTATGAAAGTATTTTCAGGATCTGGATCTAAATCTCATCCCATAGGTCAACAAACCTAAGCCCATATTTTCTAATTCCACAGCCGCTCTTAAATGTTTATGGCTGGGGGTTTGGTTTTTTTTTCCGCTAGAAACCCTGAGCCTTCCCTGAGCTACAAGCAACACAGTTGATTTCCAAAATTGCTTCGACGAACGCCAGTGAGCCCTACACTTTTCTCAAATGCATAACTGTACCTTCGAAGCTAAGTGTCCATTTTCTATCTTGTCATCAGAAGCAAGAGGATAAAATGTTAACAGAAAACTAACATCTAAACCGGAATTAGCCTAGATCACACAGATGAATATAAGACAACCATATCCGCATTCTTTACCACCACTACAGCTTTAAGAGCTTCAGGTTATTTTAAGAGGCAAAGGGCAGACAGTAACATCTGATACCCCCGAGAGCAATCGTGACTTCACACTTACATGGAACTCGGTCGTGTTGAGAATGTGACGACCATCCGGACTCCAGCATGAAGCCACCAATCCTGCTGAGCCCTCGTCTATCTTGCAGTGCCAGTCCGGCTGCTCCAGGGACCAGACCTCGGTCACAGAGGAAAGCAAACCGACAGTGCAGGAACAAACAGCTCCCCGAAACCTCTGCTCCAGCCGAGGAAGGGCTCCCGCACCGCATACCAGAGAGCTCAGGAGATCACTGAACGCCCGTGGCCATGAAGGACTGGCGCTGGATCCCACTACAAAAGTAAGCCCTGCATCTCCGTGTATTAATACACATTGTAAAGTAAGGTTTTGGTTTTTTTTTTTCCTGTGACGAATATTCTGAACATCCAACACTTAAAAGTTTTCATTCATTTAATGAGTTTGCATGTATTTACTTTCTACTGCACTAAGAAACTGGTAAGGTAATCTCCAATTTTGATTTGTTTTGATAAATATTTTCATTCTAAATTTGGGTTTGTTTTTTTTTTTTCAAACTAAGATGTTTGTCATGGTTTTAAAAACAACGGCATGCTGGGCTACCCTCACACCATGCGTTATCAATAACAACGTCAGCTACGTTAGCAAAAGCACTGAACTAGTGCTCTCCCTCGGGCCACCCACGAATCCCCAGCGGGAGACACATGCTGCCCTGCCGCTGGCCTTACCTGCACCACCCCACGCTTGTACATGGCGCAGAGTATGAACAGGGAGTCGGACGACCACTCGACGTACTGGATCTGGTCCAGGCAGGTGTACAGCTGGAGCAGCTGCAGGGTGCTCGCGTCCCGAACCACCAAGCGGCTCTCCCTCGGGCCACCCACGAATCCCCAGCGGGAGACACATGCTGCCCTGCCGCTGGCCTTACCTGCACCACCCCACGCTTGTACATGGCGCAGAGTATGAACAGGGAGTCGGACGACCACTCGACGTACTGGATCTGGTCCAGGCAGGTGTACAGCTGGAGCAGCTGCAGGGTGCTCGCGTCCCGAACCACCAAGCGGTACTGCACGCACGAAGCCTGCGCCGCAACGAAACCGGAGCTGAGCTGGTGCCGGGCTCCAGCCACGGCCATAATGAAACCGGAGCTTAGCAGGTGCCGGGCTGCAGCTCTGGCCTGACAAACCAGCGCGCTGCTGCTGCCCAGGCGTGCTGCGGGCGCAAGCAGGAATTTTAATTTCAGCAGGGCTTGATGAGGCTGTGCTCTGCTGCGAGCGGCGGCAGAAACAGTTAAACCGGGGGGGACGGGGGGGTTATATTGACAAACCCAATCCCCACTCGTTCCAGCACCGCTAGTTAACCCGTTAACCAGTTCTGCTCTTAAAAAACCATTATTCTTTGCCTCGTAACTGTGATTTAACGAACCCGCAGCACCGACCAGGCCCCCGCCCCGGGGAAAGGCCGCTGCCGGGCTGCGGCCT